CCCCCCCCGCGCTGCGCGCCCCCCGGGTGTTTCGAGTCCCCTCCCTGCCTTTCTCCTCTCGGCCCGCCGTATGCGCAGCTGTGTACTTATGAAAGACACGAAGTCCCAGTCCCCTTCCCCCCCGAGGGTGTCTTACGTTTCGTGCGACACGGGGGGCGAGGTAGGTAGGGGGTGTGGTTGGGGGGCTCACCACCGCCGCGGCCCCCACAGCACAGCTCGCCGGGCCACGGCGGCGGCGATCGCCCACCCGTGCAAACCTGCCATTGCTGTGTATGCAGATCGAACTGCTGGCGGCGGGGCTCCCGCATCGGCTCCCGCCGCGCGTGTCGGCAGTGGGGCTTCGGCTCCTCGTGCCCCCCGGGGCCCGGCCCCACCCGTCCTCCCACACCCAACCTCGCTCCAGGTACGTATTACTAAAGGTGAGGTACCGAGACGGGTATGCCCTCCCCCATCCCTACCACCCCTGCAATGGCTTTGCCAATGCATTGGCTGGAGCCAGGGGTTCCTCCTCTCACTCTCTTCCTCCCGCACACCTTCTCCGCCCTTCTCCCGATCGCTCTCCCTCGCACTCCTCTACTTCCCTTTCCTCTCTGACAAGCATTGCCCGAGATTTACAACTACTTCTACTCGGCAAGCGCGAGAGAGAATCCCCAATCCGCGCGGCGCGGCGGAGCGAACGGGAAGCAGCGGAGCATCAGAGCAACAGCGGCGGCGGCAGCAGCAGGAGCAGCAGCAGTAGTAGCAGCAGCAGCAGATGGAACAGAGGAAATAACCGAACGGCTCAGCAGAACAGAGGCAGCACAGCACCTGTGGGGGGTAAGCCCCCCCCCCCCACGTCATTTGCAGATTGCATGTGCACTTTCTGTGTGCATCAGCAGAGCCGTGTCTCCCACTCCGCCCCGCCCCGCCCCGCCTTGCCGCACGCCACGCCCCACTGCAGGAGGCTCTGTAATCCATTTATAATATGCCCCGAGTAAGACGGCAGCGGGCACCGGGCGGTCGCACACGGCAAGGTTGTGTCCCAGTCCCCGCCTGCCTGTCGTGCTGGAGCAGAGCTCGCGATCATTTTATACGGGAAGAGAGACGAGTCTGCGAAAATGTTTCGTGTACAGCGGTGCAGGGCGGTGCGGGGCGCGGCGCGGCGGGGCGGGCGCGGGGTCCTGGGCACAAATCGAGTCAGGGCGGCACTCCGCTAGCTCTGCTGCGAGGAGGCACTCCTGGAGGTTCCAGGCCAGCCGCGCGGCCACCGCTCCGCTCCGTTCCCGGCCTGCTCGGCCCGGCCCAGGAAATGACCGAGTGTTTTCGTGACTTAGAGTCTGCGTCCTCCCCTCGGCTGGAGTCGCATAAAACACTGTGATATTTCATCGCTTTCCGCTTGGCCGGCCATCCCTATTTATTTTGCTCAAGCTGCTAATTTTCCACGTTTCAGTTTTATAGTCCCTTCTTCCCCGCACACTCTGTTTCTTTATTCAGCCTTGCCCTTCCCGTTTCTTTTACTTTAAAAAAAAAAACAAAAAACAGTTTCATTTTCTCGGCTGCCCCTGCTGCTCCTGCCGCCCGACCTTTTTTAACGCGCGGCCAGCTTTCCCTCGGAGTGAACCCCAACCTAGCCTCAGCGCGACTGCTAAAGCCAGCCAGGCGCGGGCCCCGGGCCCCGGCTGCGGCAGAAATACACCGCGAAAAAGGCTTTCACATACTTCGCAGTTGGCCGGCGACAGAAACTCGCGCGGGCCACACCAGCGCAGTCAGGCAAGGCAAGGCTCCCCCGCCCCCATTATTCAGAGAGTGCGAAATTGGCCTCCGGTGTGTGTGTGCGTGTGTGTGTGTGTGTGTGTGTGTGTGTGAAGCAGAACATATTTGTTTCTTACCCCCTACTACGGTGGTCCAGCGCTCTGCAGCGCCACACTACCCCCTCCCCCTGCCCCTCTATATCCCCGTGGCTGTGCTGTGTACCTTGTCCTTTTGGGGCCGTACATACATTACGTTTCTGCGCGCGAAACTGTCGCACGTTCCTTTTCGCGCTTTCGCAATGGAGCCATGCGGCCACGAGGCCACAGTTTCCGGCTTCCATAATAAATGCTGTATATTATACGACCACCAACTAAATGTTTCCGGTGAATATATCTTCATTTTTGAGCTCAGCTTGTGTGCGTTTAAGCGAGATTTTGGCGCTGTCAATTTATTTGACGACGCAGAGAATCGTGTAATAAATTCTTTTATC